TCTCCTTCCATAATCTAGTGAATTAACTTGATAATTAAATCTCTATGTGTTGCATTCTGTGCATTTTAAGTCCAATCACTAAAGTTCTGATTTCCAGTTGGACATTTTTCGGTCAGGGGACAATCTAGACTCCTGAGACAGCCAATACAACACCTCTTAATGGTTTAAAGCTCAGACCATATTCCCAATGTCCTAGGTTTCAAAATGTGTACACGTACGGATCATGGCAACTTTGTTGAATGGATAGTATCTAGATTTGTATAAATCACACTCGCTCACAAAATTACAATTTAATGAGAGGAAAACTCAGCATATAGGTGAAAAGTGGTTAATCTCTTAGCCCGTCTAGTCTGTGGTGCATTAAGTAACACCACCAACACAAAAGATAAACATTCAAAACACTATAAAATCGGCATATGCATAGACACAACAACAAGGTTTTTCAACTATGCCATCACACTGCTGTGTGCTTCACGTCTCTCTAGTTGCCACACAATGGTTAAGAAACATTCTCGACACATGGCTTTGATCTTTTAAGGCCACTTCTTGTGTGCAATGGCAAAAGCGTTGAGTTTGCTATAAAAAGGATGCAACTTCTACTCTTAAGAACACTAGCTACACATATAAAGTTCCTCCGAATCCACTTCCCCAATATCTCACTTTAACATAACCATAATTCAGCAACAGCTCTTTGATTCTTCTCATCTTAGCAGAACCGAAAAAAATAACCATGTCCGTATACAGTTCCTCCCAATCCACTTCCCCAATATCTCACTTTAACATGACCATAATTCAGCAACAGCCCTTTTATTCTTATTTTAGCACAACCGAAAAAAAAACCATGTCCTAACCAAAATAAACCTAAAGCTCACATAATTCAGCCAATTTAAGCGCCAAATTCAACATATTATAGCTCAAAAACTCCTCCCAAACTCACGAAGAAGCTCCAACAAGCTCTAAAAAAACAACAAGAACTAACTCAAACTTTCTCAATTCTCCTTAAACAAAACAAATTCTAACCTTAACACAATAACCCATTTTATATTTCCATTCCTTTACATCGATTTCAGACAAAAGCAAGTCCTTCAATCACCCCGACAACGTCACAACCTTACAAACCAAACACATCAAAGATTCAAACTTTACCACATTTAAAAGAAACCCATCATCCAAGACACAAAGTTTTGCACTAAAATCAACTCAAGCCAAATCCCATCACTAAAAATAAGTGTATAATATACATAAAGCACGAAAAAAAAAATAAGGAAAAAAAATGAAGCTTTATAAGTACCTATAGAGCTTCTTCTCTTTCTCTGCGTGTTGGGTTCGATCTGTGAAGTTACAAAGTGATAGCTCACGCGAGGGAGGTCAGCGAGTGGGAGATTGAAAGAAATCTTTCCTCAATTTTGATTCTTTTGTTTTAGGGTTCCTGATTTTGTTCACTCTCGCTTCGTTCGCTCTGTTTCTCAATCGCGAGTGAGATACAAGGATCGCGCGTGTGGGAGCACACGTGTGGGGGTAGGTTTGATCTTTTTATTAAAGGTAGACTGTATTTTTAGCCCCTATAGATTTAATAATGTTAAACTTCAGCTTCTATGAAATACAATTCTCAATATCAGCTTTAAAATCGCCAAGAAGTTTCAAAATGGTCCTTTTCCATGTAACTATTTTTTAATTTTCTTTTAGCACTTGAAATATTCATGGTTTTTATGGAAATTTATCCCATTTGTATGGGTTTTTAAAAGGAGAAGATAAAAAAGTAACCAAAACGCAATAAATAAATAAATAAATACAAAATAGAGTATTCTTAGAACTATTTAGTTAAAAAAAAACTAATTTTAATGCAAAAAATATGAATCCAGCTTGAACCTATAAGTAAATATTATATTATGGATTCAATAATTTCGATGTAAAATCCAACATAATCCGAATGTCAATGGATTTGAAACTCTTGGATTAAATTAGCTCGATCCATGAGTTATTTGAGGAAATCAAACACTATGTTAGGCTTCAATTATACATACATGAATTAAATCTTTTCTTTTTGTTCTTCTTTTCTTAGCCAAAATTGAAGATTTGGGTTAAAATTGAAAGATTTTAATTGATGAGGATTAGATTGAAATATTTTTTAATTTACAGGGTTAAGATATAGTTTATTGTTTATTAATCATTGGTTGGTACACAGATGGCGCGTGTGAAGGGTTTGGTTGGTTACTTTCTGTATTTGCTGTCGTCCATGTGATCTTGCTTGATGAAAGGTAGGTGTTCAAGTTAGTTAAAGAAACAAAGATTGCATGGATTATGCCTATGACGTTGAAAAATTCGCATCTAGATTAAACCCACCGTTTAGACAAATTATTTATATCGAAATTAAAGAATTTTTCTTTCTGATTTAAAGTTTGAATCTTAATACCAAAAATTATTTATATTCAAATTAAAAACTTTATAAATTTTTTTTCGTAAAGTTTGAATCTTGATATCAAGAACATTTCGTATCTAAAAAATTTACTATGATTGACTAACTTTATGAAAATTTTAATTTTTTACGTAAAGTTTAAATCTTGATATCAATAACATTTCCTATCTAAATAATTTACTACGATTGAATATGATTTACTACTCTTCTGACCTAAAATTTAAATTTTGATTTCAAGAATAAAAATACACATTTTAGAATTAAAAAATTTATGAGAATTTCACTTCTTGATTTATAGTTTGAATTCTAATATCAACATTTTTTTAACTAATATATATATATATATATTATTTTAGATATAAAAGTCTATATTTATTTTTTATTGTTCGATTGGATATATATAGATATAACTATTAAAATTTTTTTTACGTATACAGAAATTCAAAATTGAAATCACTTTCTTAAACAACTAGATTTTTTTTCGCTCAATCCAACTATTTTGATAAAATTTGAATCATATTACGAAGAAAAGAAGCAAATTTCTTTTAATCTTGACTTTGTGATTGATACCTACCTTGAGAATCTAACCTTCAAAATCCCATCTTTAATAAACTTCTTTGTAATGGAAAATTTTCAAATTTCTGTAATAACATTGAGATTGTTTGTTCCATCTTTACAATGATTGGAGACAAATTTGATTTTGGAGTATGAAAAATGACATGAAAGTGGGCTCCACATTGAAGAATAAGGATACATGTAATAAAAATAGTTCGAAGAATTTAAGTCTAGGGCCGACAATTAACTTCTACCAGAACATGGGCTGGAAAGGTCAGCCCTAACCAGTCTCAGAGGATGGGGCTGTATACTTAAATTTCAATGCTGTCAGACTACATTATAAATTAGTCTTTTTACTTTTAAGAAATAAATAAATTATTTTTTTAGTTTAAAAACTAATTATTTAGTTTTTTTTTAATTCAATATTGATCATAATTAATTTAATTTTTTATTTTATAAAATATATTCTTTTCTCATATATCTATTCATATTTTTACTTTTTTATTTCTTAAAAAAATTAAAAAAATAGAAAAATTAAATAATTAATTTTTAAAATTAAAAGACTAATTATTTTTTTTTCGAAATAAGAAGGATTAATTTATAATTCATTCTAAAGTCGAGGCGGATAAAAAGGTCGTAAGAGGCAATAATTTCAATGGACCCTACCATAACCCCACAACATTAAAATACCAAAGCTTCCTTCTACATATTGCAAAAGGAAGGTTCCAACTTACCTGCCACGCATGTACTCAAACATATGACATCTAGTTGAGCAAATTCTAAATTAGTCCCTTTTGTTTAGGAAATCGATTTAATAATTCTCTTTCTTTTAAAAACTAATTATTTTGATATTTATATTTTATTTATGTCAATAACTTAGTTATTTCATCATTTTTTTATTAGATTAGTATTTTTTTTTCAAATTGCTCTTTTTTGAAAAGAAATAGATGAAGAAGAAAAATAAAGCATCAAATGAAGAGCAATTAAGGAGGAAAAAATCACTAATCTAATAAAAAAACTGAATTAATAACTAAACTAAACGTAAAGAACTAAATTATTAATTTTGAAAATGAGAGGAACTAACTATTTTGTTTCTCTAAATGGGAAAGACTGATCTATAATTTTTTGCATTTAATCTTTTAAAACAAGGGTATGAAGGAATTAAATTAAGTTGCTTTTTATTAGTTCTCAATAAATTTTTCATATTTTTATTTATCTATTCATATAACCATTTTTTATTCTGTTTTAAATTCAACCCATAAATAATAATTTCCTTTTTTTATGCCATAATAAATAGGAATAACTTCTCTCTTCTCTTACTCTCTCGTTTGAAACTCATTTAATCATTTTAAAAAAGTGAAATTTGTGCATTTATAACGTGGCTTCTCTTTAGTTAAAGTAAAGACGTGAATTAAATCCAAAAAACTGATTTGAGGATATTACTTGGATGTCAAAAAAATATTAAGTTTAAAAAAATATGGGTAAATTATAAATTAGTCTTTTTAGTTTTGAGAAATGAATTAATTAATTCTTTATGTTTTCAAAACTAATTATTTAGTATTTTGTCCATTTTAATTTTTTTCTAATTTGCTTTAAATATAAAAAAATAAATTGATATTATGGAAAAATTGATAAAAGAAGATATTTTTAAAATAAAATAATTTAAATTAACTGTGGTCAGTATTTGATTAATGAATTAAATAGTTAATTTTTAAATTAAGAAGAACTAATTAATTTGTTTCTCAAAACTAAAGGGACTAATTTATAATTTACTCAAAAAATCAAGAGAAAAACACTTCCATGATACAGTAACATTAGGTACTACTTATTATTAAAAAATTGATTTTAGGTACTTCATTATTTAAAAAATAATAATAATTTGGTAGATAACAACTAGAGATGACATGAAAGCATGAAAATATTCATACAGTCACTGAGATTGATGGAATTTCTATTTTTGTTGTCTGTCAACGCTTTCGTTTGCTTTTGTCAGTTTGTGTTCTTCTAACAGTTCCACTCTTGTTTTCACATGCCTCTTCTTTTTCTCTTTGTACTTTTCCTAAGTGCGACTTCCCTTCCTTCTTTTTCAGTCTCAGGGCCTCTCATTTTGTTCTTTTCTTTCCACCTTTCTTTCCCACTTTTGCTCTTTAGCTCTTTTCCTTATGCTTTTTTTTTTCTTTCTTTTCTTTCTTCATTTTAGTTAATAATAATGTTTAGGCAAGTGAGACTCTGGAGTGAGGCCTAAATCCAAATTGAACTTTACTCTTTCTTTGGTTTTAAAAGGGTTTGCATTTATTTTGGTATCTGGGTTACTGTGGTTGAGAGGAAAGTTCTTTTCTTTTTGGGTTATTTTCTCTTTCTAGCTAGAGTTTTTTAGGGTGTGTTTAGGGTTTTGGCCTTTTTTGGTGTTTGGATTTTGCTGCAGTTATGGTGAGGAAACATGGATGGCAACTACCAGCTCACACCTTTCAGGTATGACCATAAAAGCCTTATCTTTTTTAGACTTTGAGATTGTTTCTCAATTTTGTCCTTACTTAATCAGTATTGCTTAGCTTTGTTCAAAAAACTGATCTTTTCTTCTGGGGTTCTAAAAAATGCAAAAGAAGTGATCTTTTTCATTTTTTTTTAATGCGGGAATATGAAATTGGCTTATGTTCTTCGGCATTTTGTAGTTATTGAATGCATGAGTGTTTTTCTAGTTGCATATAGTGCTAATTTATGTGCTAAATTTTGGTGCTTTATCTTTGATAGGTTGTTGCAATCACTGTCTTCTTCTTATTGGTGATTGCATTTTATGCTTTCTTTGCTCCTTTCCTTGGAGGCAAAATCTGGGAGTATGTGCTTATCGGGACTTACACTCCAGTGGTATGTGAACTCTTGTCATTTCTGTGTATTGATGCTAAGTTTGTTTCTCTTAAAGGAAATTTGTGACATGGACTGAAAATTTTGGTAATGTTCTATTCGCTTCAATGAGTTGGGCATAAATTGTCCAGCTAGCATTGATCTAAGTCCTAGAGTGATAGCCCATTTTAATTGATTTGTTCTGGTTGCTTGACCATGGATATCTTCTGCATCTAATGTTATGGATCACTTTAGTCTTCTTATCGTACTAACTATGGTTCCTTAAAGGAAAAATCTGTCTAAGACTAAGATGGCTGACGTTGTTTTCTTGATTCATTTCGTGGCATTGCAGGTACTCCTTGTCTTTATTCTATATGTTCGGTGTACTGCAATCAACCCTGCAGATCCTGGCATTATGTCTAAATTCAGTTCCGATGTAGCAAATAAACTCAATATGAAACATGGGTTGTCAGTGAAGGATCTGCCCAGAAAATTTGATGAAACTGGAAGTGCAATGCATTCGTCGTTTTCATCGCCGTCCAGAAGTTCTATAGCTCCAGCAAACTCTAGTAAGAAAGGCTCAGTGGGAGAAGTCGAGAGAGTAGAGACTGGAGAGCAACCTCCGACCAGAAAATCTCCTCATAACGTTGGTTTAATCTTCTGTGCACTGTTTGTTCATGAAGATTGTCGCAAACAGGAAGGGATAGCTGAGCAACAGGGCAACGGTGAAGATGCTTTGTTCTGTACATTGTGCAATGCTGAGGTATTGTACTGTCAAAAACGTGGCAAAATATTGCGGCACCCTTAATTTTGTTTACTGTTATTATTTTCTCTTTTTGGTTGTGGGGCTCTGGTTATCAGTCCATTGGGTTAGCACCATCTTAATGATTATATGCACTCAATATATAAAACACATTCTTGTCCTTCAATAATTCTGCTAATTGAATGCTATCTAAAGTATCTCCAGCGGTTGACCACTTGCTGCCAATGACAGCCTTCAAAAATTACACTGGCTTTCCCTATTATTAACCATGAAATCATTAAATTGCAGGTACGCAAGTTCAGCAAACACTGTCGAAGTTGTGATAAATGTGTTGATGGTTTTGATCACCATTGCCGGGTATACTTTCATGTTGTTTCAAGTGCTCTTTACAGGCACACGTCTTGAATTATCTTAAACTGGTTTTGGGGTCAACAAAATCTGGTTTCCAAAAAACTAACCGAATCTATGGTGTGGCTGCAGTGGCTTAACAATTGTGTGGGGTACAAAAACTATGTGACTTTTATTTCTCTAATGGCTACTAGTCTTGTTTGGGTATGTGATATACTCTCTGACTTGTATCTGCCTTTTATTTCTCATATTCCTGTTGCTGGTTGTTTCATTTGGATATATGTGGTATTCCTGACAATTGTTCTTTCGGGAAATTTTTTCCCAAATGGTAACATATTTGCTCACGTGTGGCTCAGCTTGTACTCGAAGCTGGAGTTGGTATTGCCGTCTTTGTACGTTGTTTTGTTAACAAGCAAAGCATGAAGGTTGACATTGTAGAAACACTTGGAAATGGTTTCTCTATAGCTCCTTTTGCAACAGTTGTGGTACATACACAATAATCTTAGACCAAAGCTTGTATCTTATCATCCATCTACAATCTATATTGCTGATGCTCGATCTTGATTTGCGCAGATTGTGTGCACTGTAGTTTCAATCCTGGCGTGTGTACCTCTAGGTGAACTTTTCTTTTTCCACATGATATTGATCAGAAAGGTTAGTGACTGAGAGACAGGATGCTATTTTCAGTTTCTATTGCTCTTCTAGATTGCTTTAAAAATGGACGAGGAGAAGTTAAAATTTGTAATTTATAACCATACTTGGGCAATTTCAGCAATCTAAAAGTTTTTATTCATTTCTGTTATGTTGAATTAGGGTATTACCACCTATGAATATGTTGTGGCAATGAGAGCAATGAGTGAAGCACCTGCCGGAGCATCCGTGGATGAAGAAATGGCAAACATACTATACTCTCCATCAGGATCTGCCACAACTGGTTTCAGTGGTGGAAGTTCTCTTGGCCTACAGTACAAGGGAGCATGGTGTACCCCTCCTCGGGTATTTGTGGATTATCAGGTATTCGAGTCTTGTGTTTGCCATCTTTTCATTTGTGTGTTAATCATAATGACTGCGGTGATCAGCAAAGACTCCTGCAGAGACTTCTGAGTTAGTCCTTGCCATTTTTTTTTTTTGGGCTATAAAAATGTTCTGCATCAGTTATTTTTGAAGTGTTGAACGGTTGAACCATTCACCTTGTGTTTAAGGCTTTCGTCTTTTATCCTATGAATGGGGATTTGGTGGCCTGTGGCCATCATTTTGACCTGGCTCAATTTTAAATTCTTACCATTCCGCCACACTAGGAATAACATTTTGTTGTTGTATCTTAAGAATTCCTTTCTTAAAAAATTGTTGTGTTTTACCACATGACATTTTTGTCCCAATTCACTCTTAATAGGAACTCTTTGACCTTGGTTCATAACCTATGTTTTACTTATTTTGCTAAGATTTGTTTTGAATTTCTTAACAAAATCTTAACAAATCTTACAAAATTAGTATGTAGAAGCTTATAACTTTTATTGGTCTTTATGGAACTCGTTTGTCTTTTGGCTCCATCAGGATGAAGTCATTCCTCACCTGGAGCCTGGGATGGTCCCATCAACTGTCGACCCGGATGCTGCTGGAGCTGCAGAAAGAGGCAACAAGCTTCCCAAACGGCCAGTTCGAATTAGTGCTTGGAAACTTGCAAAATTAGATTCCACCGAGGCTATGAGAGCAGCAGCGAAGGCCAGGGCATCTTCGTCCGTTCTAAAGCCAGTTGATAATCACCGTTTGCCAGATACTGAATATAGCTCCAGTGGCAATATGAGTGTCAGAAGTAGTGTGAGCACTGATATGGGGGCAAACAAAGAGATCAAGAATGAGCCGAGATTAACAGGTCTAGGAAACTCTTTTGCTCCAAGTCAAGGAAGCCGGGATGAGTATGAAACTGGGACTCAAAGTGTTAGCAGCTTCAGCAGCCCAACCAATGTTCATGAATCAGTCACACTCAGTCCTCTACCACAAACTCAAGGTCTAGGTCGTTTTAATGCAGCAATCTCAGCCGCTGGCCTCATTCCCGATCATCCTGTAACTTCGAAAGCTCCTTTACCTACCGCCAACAACCCATTATCCCATCCTTCATCAGGATTTGATGAAAAAATCATGCAGAAGGGAAGTAGTACCGATCCATTACTTCTTTCAGCCCCAGCCACCTCTCTTCTTAGAGATGTAAAAAGGGCATCTGTGGTTTGGGACCAAGATGCTGGGAGGTATGTATCAGTTCCTGCGTCAGCTTCTGAAGCTCGGAGTAGAACAGCTACGCAAGCAGTATTGCCAAAATCCAATTCAGAAACAAGCAATGATGGTAGAAGGCCAGCAATGCCTCCACAACAGTCTTCATCATCTGCAGCTAAAGCTCCTGCTCAGCCAGCTGAGAAGCTGATGTACACAGGGGACTCCATATTCTTTGGTGGTCCACTTTTGAGTGTCCCTGCTAGGGATGGTTTGAGAAACGAGGGCAGCTCAGGTTTGAGAGAGGCCCAACAGCGATTTGCATTGCATTTACCCCGAGAGTCTAGATTCAAAAGAGATTCAGTATCAAACCAGCTTCCAGTGTTTGTCCCTGGGGGTTTTGATACCAACCCCTCTTCTGGTTCTGGTTTGAGGTAGGTTTAAGTCTGAAGATTTTGACTTCTAACAAAATCTACATGTAAGCTTTTGTCCAATTGCCAGTTGAGTTGCTAAGCGATGGGCTTGGAGAAGAAACCCTTATGGGAGCAGCACAACCCCAGGAACCTTGCAATTTTGAACCGTTATAAATCCGACTGCATTGCGAGGTTCAAGTGGTTTCTTCTTTAGAGGAACTTTGTGATCCCACGTCTTCATTTGGGGAACGAAAATGAGATTCAAGGACTCTAACTCTCCCCTTCTTTTTTCAGGACATTGTGGTCAATGGCTTTCTTAGAAAGTTCTTGTTTAACCCTGTACAATTGCCTCCATTGATTAGTTCCGGCAGAATCATTCAGCTTTCTATTCCACATTTAATGATGTTTCAGTGTTTCTTTTCCCACCAATTCTGGCCATGTGTTTCTGTATCATATCAATTCGTCGACCCTTTTCGCTATGGATCAATAAACCTTCAGTGGTGGTTCTCCTCAGCCTGGAATGGTGTTCAGCCATCTCTAACGGTGCCGTGCCGAGCTGTAAGGTATCCAGCAATGTCCAGTATCACAACAGGAACAGCCTGCAGAATATTCAATCACTAAAGATCTCACACCACCATGGATGGAGATCATTGCAATGCCATGATTAAAACTTGTAGCAATAAACAATAAACGGATGAGTCTCCTCAAAAGCAATCATAAACACATCGTCGGTCCGTTCTAAATCCAAGTTTATGGTCTGAGTTTGAGTAGGGCCGATATGAATCGCCTAACTTCGGCATAGATGGTCTCTATTTGACCGGTTCCATCTGGTGAATCCAGTTTCAGTGCATAAAAGTTGATTCAAAGATATGTGCATTAGTTTTTCTATATCCGTAAAACAAAACACAAAGAAAGAACATATAAAAATTAGTTTTTCTAGTTTCGGGAAAAAAAATATTTAATAATTGTAAAAAACAACATTTACTTGAATGGCTTAGGGCCACTTCCATTTTTTGAAATTATTAAATAATATTTTTTTTCAAAAATAATTTGAAGTGTCAAAAAAGGAAAAAAAAATGAAATGTTTCAGTTTTTTTGACACTTCAAATTATTTTTGAAAAAATAAAATATTTGAATAGCCTTCACTGATCTAGGTCCAATTCCTTTTATTATTATTATTTTTTATTTTTATAAAAATAATATTAAGTGTTAAAAAATTGAAATATTTAAAATAACATTATTTTTGTTTTAAGTATTTTAGTTAACCAACAAAATTTTGATAGTCCGACAAAACGAGAAAAAAATAATAGCTTTGGATTAATATTGATCAAAAAATAATTCGATTCTTATTTTATCACAACTTCAATAATTTAAAGATAAAATATGATATTAAATAAATAAATAAAAAGTTACGATGATCCCTAAATATAAACTAGAAAATGACCCATCGTTATATATATATATATATATATAGGAAAAAAAAATACCAATATCATAATTATTAAGGAAAAAAATATATAATAAAGAGTTTTTCTTATTCTAGAGAAAGGATTAGGTTTGAAGCTAAAGCGTATGCAGTGGATATGTTCTGTTTCATACTTTGCATCTAGACATCAAATACCCTCTCTTCTTTAGTCAACTACCCTATCTTTTGGGATCATACATCAAATAATATTCAATAATGATACAATTTTTTCGTAAATTTTAAGTGATTTGAGAATTAATTATTTAATTTTTAATTTTAAATTGGACATTAATTTCTTCAATTGAAATTAGATTTTTTTATTAAATTTTCATCCATTCTAACGGTAAAAGTACTAAAAAATTGGATGTGATTGACTTTTTAATTTCTTCAATAGGTAAAAATATATTAAATTTTTTGGATACTTTGTTTTGCTCTAAAAATTTTTTGTTCTCTTCCAGATGTTAAAGAGTAAGCAATTAAATAATATTTTAGAAGAAAATAATAAGTTTTAGAGAGAAAAATAGAACGCCTACAGATTTTGACATGTTTTTTACAATCGAGAAATTGTGTTTATACGTTAGAATTAATAAAAACTTACCAAAATGATTAAATTTTAAACGAGAAATAATTAAAAAAAAATCTAATTCATAATTGAAAATCGAGATTCAATTTTTAAACAACTTACAGCTCGAAGATTTAATTTTCATTAACGTATATTATGCTTACTCGAAAATATTTTTTATAGTCAAATAAAAATATTTTAACCTTACTTTATTTCTAAACATTTTTTTTTTCATGTTATGATTCAGATTCAAATTTTAAAAGAAATCATAAGAAAAAAAAACCCTTCAATTTAGAGTCGACAGCATACTTAAGATCTGATTTTTAGATTTTCTAAAAAAAGAAGAAAAAAAAAAAAAGAAGGTTGAGATCCTCTGATCCTGTAATTATTACTCACATATTAATGCATTATTATGAACAAGGTCTGATGGCTGGACCAGAGACATCAATTCGATACAGAATTCTCCTTCGTTACGTGGGCAAAAAAGGAAGAAAAATCTACCTTTGGGAATTTTGTATTATGATATTTCATTAATTATAAAAATTTTCAGAAATTAATGATTACTTACAATATGCCTTTTGACCTTAAAAAAAAAATGTAAATCAATCGTAGTTGATGTGATGCAAATTGAAGTTCGAATCAGACAGAATTGAGTTGAAATTGAAAAATCTAACCAATTGAATTCAAATATCAATTTCGGTCTGTTTTATCAACTATTTTACTTGAAAATATCTCTAGCAAAACAAAATTTATATTTGTTTAGTTGAAAAAATTATAAATTAATTCTTTTAATTTTGAAAAATAAATTATTCAGTTCTTTTTATTTTAAAAAATAATTTATGATTGAAAAATATATGCAGTTGTGAAAGAATATTAATTACTATCGTAAATGGATAGCATGATATACTTTTTTATTATAAAAATTATTTATCTTTTTATTCATATATGTCTCAAAAATATTTTTTTATTAAAATTTTGAATTGCATATTTTTCTAAAACATCATTGATTAATTCTATTTTATAAAAAAAGTAATTTAGGAAAATATAAATATATATTACATTTTGTACAAAAATCTGTAAATATAATTATATATAATTTTTTTATATGGTATAATAATTAATAATATCCTTAATGAAAATAATTTTTTTATATGGATCAAAAACAAAATTTAAATTTTTTTTTGAATAAATTATAAATTAACTCTTTTAATTTTGAGAAATAAATTGTTTAGTTCCTTCTATTTTTAAAAAAAAACTAAATTATAATTGAAAAACATGTGCAATTGTAAAAGAATGTTGAATAGTAACGTAAATGGATAGCATGATATACTCTTTTATTTCAAAAATTATTTATTTTTTATTTATATGTATCTCAAAATGTTTTTTCTGATTAAAATTTTGGATTGTATATTTTTCTAAAATATCATCGATTAATTATATTTTATAAAAAAAATAATTTAGGAAAATATGAACATATAATACGTTTTGTACAAAAATTTCTAAATACAATTATATAGAAAAAGATAATTTTATATGGTATAATAATTAATAATGTTATTAATGAAAATGATTTTTTTGTTTTTTTGGAGACTAGCAAGAGGTATCTCTGACAAGTTGGTCCACTTGGCCAGTTATCGTCAAATTCCAAGTTAATATTGATGTAATCAGACTTGAAATCAGCAATAAATACCAAAGAAAGAGGAGCCGTTTCAGTCACTCTCTCTTTCTTACTCAACAGCCACTACATATCCTTTTTTCTTGCATGTTTTGATTGATTAGTCCAAAGACAGAAACATGGTTATCAGCAAACTCCTGCGATCCACTCTTCACTCCCAGGTATCAAACAACCTAGTAAACCTCATTTGTGTGTGTGTGTGTGTGTGTTGTTGTTGTTGTTTTTTTTTTTTTTTTAATATGTTGACCCTTTTGTTGTGTATTCTTGATTCTTGAAAAAGTTTGCGAATTTTTTGGTTTCTTGGATTTTCTTTCATGCATTCTTGATTACTATCAGTGATTTTTGTTTTCCATGCTTGTTCAGTTTTGTTGAATTATCATATAGCACAGTGTCTTGTGGACCCTTTTGTTGTATAATCTTGATTCTTGAAGAAGAAGATGAAATTCTTGTTTTCTTATCCTTCTTTCCATGCATTCTTGATTACTTTCAGTGACCTTGATTCTTGTTTTCAAATCATTCATGTTTTGATTTTTACATTAGCTTATGTTGTTGTCGTAAGTTCATCACCTCGTTTGGCTGATTTCACTTCTTTTTGGTGTTGAGACTGGAAGGACAAAGTTTGAACATCCCATAGCCAAGTGGAAGAAGTCATGATTTGAGTACATCTTTTTTGTGTTTTAACAAGATCACTAACTTTGTTACTCTGAAACTTCCTTTTCATTCTTTTTTGGGTTTTTGCACAACTTTAGTGGTTAGAATCAATTTGAATGGATTGGATTTTCGTTCAGTGCTTAAAGGGAATTTATATTCATGGGGTGTTAATTAATAGAAATTAGTGTAATTGAACCTTTGATGGGTGTTTGATGAAGCACTTACCGATATATTCCTTGGAAGAATGGAATAAGAGAAACAGAGAAAAAAAGCTACAAATGCATTTTGTTACTGGAGCTTGAAAGACATCGAATTGAATGTGCTTCTTCACATCAAAGAAGGTGCTAAATTTGATGGTTACATGTATTAATCTTTACGAGGCAATTTGATGTAGGATTGTTTTAGGATTATGTTGGATGATTCCAAAAACAATTTAGTAGTACTAAAGGTTGTGTTTCTGTCCTTATTTCTTTTCCAAAAACAAATTGGTGAATAGGATGTTGTATGGAAGTGTGGAACAGAGTAGAGATGCATGGGTTATGAAAACACATTCTGAATGATTTACTTGCTTTCTTGGTTACACAGCTCACCGTTCATGCCGTTTCATTGCTAACATGTTCTTTTTACTTTATTTTCAGCTCAGTTCTTGCATAAAAAATGGTGCTGCTTCTGGAAGTTCACAGGAGCATCTTCTTCGGGCCTCTTTCCTGGCCAGATTATATGGTACCGAGGCATCTTTGCGGAAGGAAGATTCAACTACTGATGGTACCAGGTACTTAACGTCTCACCCATACACACAACTCACACGTGTGTGCATCCACTGTGCTTCTACAAGGTTTGGATTGATTTGCAGATATGCCCAGATGTGTACAGGACAATTGTGTAATTGCATTCAGGCCCCTACTTGCTAGGAATACAATTTTGTGGATGACTAGTTGCTAAAAAATTTTAATTATTGCAGTTTCAAGGGGCATGATATGTTGGCACCTTTCACTGCTGGCTGGCAGAGTACTGATTTGCATCCTCTAGTCATAGAGAAGTCTGAGGTATACTTCCTTTGATGACTCTTGTTTGATTGTCCCAACATTTTTTGTTCCAAAAAGGCTGTTAATATTCTAAGCTGAGTTTTTTTTTTTTTTTTTTTTTCAATATACATAACTAATTGGAAGCTGCTGAATGATCTAGGGTAGCTATGTCTATGACATCAATGGGAAGAAGTATCTTGATACTCTTGCTGGTCTTTGGTGCACAGCCTTAGGTAAATGAAACAGCATACCCTAGTTGAGCAGAGACTTATTTGCTTCACTTTTCTCCACTTTGATGAATTCAAATTATCAGACCCCCTGCACCCGGCTCGTTGCTTGTCAAGTTGTGGGATATGAGGATTTGAGAATTTCTGGAACTGGACTTCCCCGTACTCTCTTGCATATTTAGGTTCCACTTTGTATATGTATTGAAACATTGGCTATGTGCAGGGGGAAATGAACCACGACTTGTGGCTGCTGCAACAGAACAGTTGAATAAATTGCCATTTTACCACTCCTTTTGGAATCGTACTACAAAACCTTCTTTGGTACTCCTATACTTTATTTCCTTTTCTATGATGAAATAACTTCAATTTTCATATGCAATGCATTTTCATCAAACGGAATTCTCACCAATTAAATTAACTTATATGATCTGTGAATGCCTTATTTTCTGCCTCTCTAAAATAGAAGCATTGCTGCCTCTTTTCTTCACAAAATATTTGACATAATATCTTCTGGAAATGCTTTCTGTTGCCTTAAAATAATCAATTTTATCTAACAGGATCTTGCAAAAGAACTTCTTGAAACTTTTACTGCAAGTAAAATGGCAAAAGCTTTCTTTACCAATAGTGGATCAGAAGCCAATGATACTCAGGTTTGCTTTCGTCTATAGGCACTTATTTTTTTCTTTTTATTATTTATATATATGCATTTAAATGTGTGTGTAGTTAAACAAGTGCCATATGTTTTTGTGTTCCATGTTGTTGATATTGCATTTTTACTAAAATTCTGAAAATACTAATGGACTTTGCTTAATTGGAAAAATATTGCAGCAAAAAAGCAGTAAACTATTATCAAATTTTCTAGTTATGTTTCTTTTGATAGTTTTTCTATTAATCCGATTCAAGGTGTGGATAGTTGTATGATATCGACATTTTAAAATTTGGTCAGACATGTAACCACTACCATGCAGATTGAGTGCAAAATATGAAATGAATATCTAATTAGCTAAGTTTTCTTGAAAGATGAATAAAAATTTAAGTGGGAATAGACATGGATGTCAAAGCAATATCTTTGATATTCAATCCCTTATTTCAATTCATGGTTATCAACAGCACCAATGATGATGATGATGATAGCAAGAATACTGTTTTACTTTGTTTCTTTTTTCTGGTTTTTTCCTGAGTGTGGTGCTTACTTCGTGTCTTGAATTATCTATTTGTAGGTGAAGCTGGTTTGGTATTATAACAATGCTCTTGGAAGACCAAATAAGAAGAAATTTATAGCTCGATCAAAATCGTATGTGGATTTCTCAATTGATTATTTTGTCCATATTCGTGTTGGGAATATTCCCCGTTACTTGTCAGTTTCTTTGAATTTGGCAGGTACCATGGTTCAACTTTGATAGCAGCCAGTCTTTCTGGGTAAAGATAATTGATGAGCACTTATTCGATGAGAATCTTTGAGCTTAACATATGGAAACACATGTTTCGTTAACTAATAAATTTGTGTTACAGCCTTCCAGCTTTGCACCACAAATTTGATCTGCCTGCTCCATTTGTACTACACACTGACTGTCCTCATTACTGGCGCTATCATGTCCCAGGTTGGCACTTGTCTTATCAGATCCTCTGAATGACACTATTTATACTAACAGTCATGTTAATGCATGTGCCAGGTGAAACGGAGGAGGAATTCTCAACCAGACTAGCTAATAATTTGGAGAATCTTATCCTGAAAGAGGGACCAGAGACGGTACTTTGATCTTTGCCATCTTGTATTGAAACTCAATTGAGAACTAGAGGTATTGTTTATTGCTTATATACTGTGCTTGTCCATTTCAGATTGCTGCATTTATTGCTGAGCCTGTCATGGGGGCAGGAGGGGTGATACCTCCCCCAGCAACTTATTTTGATAAGGTGAGGCTTTCTTAACCCAGTACCATGATTTGCTTGAGATGGCCATCTCCTGGACAAAAAATCTCTATTTTGATGCTAGGTAATTTAGCATATTTTGGTCAGGCATAAAAAATAATGCTTGCATTTCATCTAAGTGTTGATGCAACTGGATGATAAATAGTTCTTGTGTTATTGCGAAACTGAGAGGCAAATAGCTCCTCCTTCATCATGATATTGGACCAGTGACGCTTCTGATTAGTTTAAAAGTGATAATTCCACTATATTAATAAATGTAGCATGCTGGTTTTGTGTTTTGCTTGTTGTTTTTTGTCCAATATAAGGGGGGTGGGTGGGTAGGGAACTCGTCTTGTCTTGCCAACATATATAACTGGTCTAACATGTTGTTTCTTGCAGATTCAAGCAGTGGTGAAAAAATATGACATTCTGTTCATTGCAGATGAGGTACTTTGTTTCCATCCCTGTTACCAAGAATATTATGCCTAAGCTCTATAGAGCCTAATAGAGGTTGGCAATTCAAGCTTGCTTTCTTCTTTCTGTTTATTTTAGGTAATTTGTGCCTTTGGAAGGCTTGGGACAATGTATGGGTCTGACAAATACAACATCAAACCAGACCTTGTATCTGTAGCAAAGGTAAAGTCAGAGAAAATGTAATTACACAAGGGTTCAAATTCTGAGATATTAGTTGAACTCTGCGTTGTTTGGCATTGGTTTCCCAGGCCCTTTCCTCTGCTTACATGCCAATCGGAGCTGTTATGGTGAGCCCTGAAGTTTCAGATGTGATTCACTCTCAAAGCACTAAACTTGGTATGTGGACCATATTCATCAAGGACCATATTTGTTCATTGCTACAAAATGTTTCTCCTCTTTGCCATCTGCTAATTTCTTCTATTTAGGTTCTTTCTCTCATGGATTCACTTACTCTGGCCACCCTGTTGCCTGTGCGGTTGCCATTGAAGCGCTCAAGATATACAAGTGTGTCCTTTTCTGTCTTTCATTAGATAAGCTGCATATGAATTTTTAAGCATACAATTACAATGAACCAACTAGTTCTTGATCATTATGCATAGACTAATATCCCTTCTTACTGTAAACATGATAGCAGGAAATTGCAAGGGATATTTTTATTTATGGTCCCCGATCATCTAACCAAGTAGTTTGTCTGTAAAAGAAATACCTTAGATAAGCTTGTTCAGTGTTTGGTCATGACTCATGATACAAGTGCTGTCAGTCTTTTCTTATGTTGGTGCAGTATTTTTAGCTAAATTTTTAATTGTTTGCAGGGAAAGTAACATTCTTGATAAAGTAAACAGCATTGCCCCAAAATTTCAAGATGGACTAAAAGCCTTCTCTGACAGTCCTGTCGTAGGGGAGGTACAGTTTCTGGTTGAAATGTCTCTCTTCTGCTAAATGAACATATTACCAGACTCTTTACCTTGTAATATTTTCTGGTGCTTTAGATACGCGGAACTGGTTTGATTCTTGGCACAGAGTTCGTGGACAACAAGTCACCAAATGATCCATTCCCTCCTGAGTGGGGCAAGTATCAGCTCCCTTTCCAGTTTTTGGTTGCACTTAGATAATATACGGCATGTTTTCAGTATCTTTCTCCAAAAACAATTTTCGGGAACGGCCAAAATGGAGTGACCCTCATGCATACATTATCATTATGTGTTTGGTAACCAGTTCTACATTTCCTTCATCCTTTTCCGTGTCCCTGTTAACAATCCTTGAGTTGCAATGACATCTAGGAGTTGGCTCATATTTTGGAGCACAATGTGAGAAGGAAGGGATGCTGGTACGTGTTGCAGGGGATAACATAATGATGTCTCCGCCATTTATAATTTTGCCCGAAGAGGTTGATGAGGTATGTTTCGGTGTAGGTTAACCAAGATACATATTTTCCCTGCTTGCTTTTGCAAATACTGCATTTTATATCAAAGTTGTTACCTTTGTGGAATGGAACTGCTCTTTTTGAATGAATTGGTTCTTCTGTTTACAGTTGATTAGCAAATATGGGAAAGCTCTGAAGGCTACTGAAGAGAGGGTAAAGGAGCTGAAATCTCAGCACAAGAAGCAGTAAATAGCTGCTGTTAAATAATGGGAATACTGTAGGTTTCATGTAAAGCCATTTGCTGCTCTGAATTGTGAGACATTTGGTGTCTAACAAATGTGTGGTAATCCCTTCTATTTCCATATTTTGCCCTCCTCTTCCTCTTCCTCTCTTTTTTCCAAGTCGAAAATTTCGATTATGAGGTCGATCAATCTTCTACAAGCAAACGATTATGAGCTTTTTTTCCCCCTGAAAAAAGAAAAAGAAAAAGAAAAACAAACCCCAAGAGGGTTTCTCCCAGTTCTCCTCACTGTCGCTAACACACTCAAGCAAAGTCATTATATACCATGAAAGGCCATCATTTGAGCTATGGAGATCGTGTGCTTTTCTTCTATGATTACAGTGAAGCTTATTGTATCAATAATAATAATAATAATAATAAATAATAAATAATAAATAAAAATTTATATTTTTTAATTATATTAACACATTCTTTTAATCTTGGACAGAAAATATACAAATTAAATTTTTACTAACTATATTAGCAAACGTGATTTTTTTCGTTTAACATTACGTTAACATCTAATATGGCAAGAGGGAAATATTAACAATAAGGATTTTAGATTTTAATGAAATTTTAATTGAAAAAAATCATGTATGCTAATATGGTTAACATAAATTTAATTTATGTATTTTTTATCTAATATTTAAAAAATGTACTAATATAATTAAAAACTATAAAGTTTATATTTTTTTTTATACAATAAACCTTATAATTAATATCCAACCTTTTAAGCACTAAAATACAAAAAAAAAACTAAAAAATTTAAGATTATCACTATTTATTTACTGTAGTATTTTTTTTTTTTTTAATACCTGGGTTGAATGGCTTTGGCAGCCTGGTGCACTGCCCGGCCCGCCCCCCCCTCTCTTTTCCCATTATATATATATCCCATTATATGTGAAAAATATAGTAAATAAATTGTTATTTTTTTTAGTTTTATCTACAGACTTGAAGATGATAGAATATATATGATATTTTATAAAATTTTAGTGTGAATATATATATATATATATATATATATATATATATATATATATATATATATATCTCGATTATATTACTCTTATTTTTTAAAATTTATTTCTTCAATTATTTGTTTCTTATTAAAATTCTCATCAAATTGTTTTTTGATATAATTTTATTAGTTAATAAATTTAGTTTTTTAATGTATGAATTTTGGAATAAAATTTTAGGACGTTGGTGTTTTATTTTTTAAAAATATATTATTATAATTTATACAATAAATTATTTTGATGCTTTTTAAATGAATGTTTTATTTTTAAAATATATTATTATAATTTATAAATTCTAATTATATATATATATACATACACACACACGCGCGCACACACACACACACACACAAAGAGAGAGAGAGAGAGAGAGAGAGTTAGTTGAGAGTATATTTCGGATAGTTTGACTCAATTTTTGTTTAAAAAAATTAATAATCGATTAAAAATATTCACAAGTTTTATTTTATATGTACATATAAATATTTATTCAGAATTTATCAAAATCAATTTTGTTGTAATTTTTATTTTAATCTATTGACTTCAATATATTTCATACAATTTAGCAAGCCCGACCTTTTTTTTTTTTTTTCTTTACACACGTACATGACACACATATAGATATGAAATTAGGTGTGAAAAATATATAAAAAAAAATCGTTATTTTTTTTTTAGTTTTACATATAGTTTGAGGATGATAGAATATATGTATTATATTTTTTAAGATTTTAGTTTGAACATATATATCCGATTATATTACTCTTATTGTTTAAAATTTATTTCTTCAATTATTTATTTTTTATTAAAATTCTCATCAAATTAATTTTAGGTGGGTTTTTTTTGTATATTTTTTATTTATTCTATATACTTTGAATATATATATTCATAATTTTTATTAAAAATTAACTATATATCCGCACATATAATACCAATTATTATTTTATTTATTTTTTTATATTCTAATTTTTTTTAAATAAAATAAGTTAGATAATGTTTTGAAAGAATCTCCTAATTATTCAAATACAAAGCTTTATACTAATATTATTAAATATTTTTCTAATAAATATATATAAATGAAATGACTTCGCTCAATGTATAAATTCGATTTATATTAATTACTAGAAATAAAACTTTCATTCATACGATACCATATGTATTGTTAACTCTACATATTAACGGTTGTTTGATCGCAACGTAACGCGGGTATCTAACTAGTTCACTCTAAAGAGAGAGAAGTTGTGGGACGTACCACGAGTTTATTAACAATATCTATAAAAAAAAATCTCATATTAACATGAAGATCAAATTGACACGGAGAGAATACACCTTTTTAAATTATTTTTAAAAACATTTTTAGTACCGAAATTATGAACTACCCTTTTTTCTTTTTTTAGATTTATTAATAATATATGATGTCATTACTCGATTTTCACAAGACTTCGAAAATTTATTTATTTAAGATTTATTTGTTGAAAATTGATTTATTTGGAGATATGAGTTATTATGTTTAGAGTCATCATTTCGTATCAAAGGAATTAGAAACCTAAAATAAGCACTCGATAAAGAGATTTTAGGATAAGGAGTTAATTATGTTTTTGGGAAGATATCAATCACCTAATATGTTCCCAAAAGCACAATTTCCTAAGAAAGGTAACATGTTTAGCTTAGATCTAAAATTTATCTCCTAAAAATTTTCATTTTTGCCAAAACTAATCCTAGTCAAAATTTCAAGTTTTATTTCTTACATCAAACTAAGTTTTTTATTTTTATTTGTGACATCTTGTTGAATCAAACATTAGTCCCCTTCGTTGGGCATCCCATCAATTTAATATTGGATCCAATTAAAATCTTGATATAACTAGTATGTCGGAGAACGAACTAATTATTAACATGTGATTGATTTTGACTAACATCGATTTTTATTAGTTATGAGACTTTGTTAATTTTTCACCTAGTATTTTACACACACACACCTTCTTTCCCTTTTTTTTTAATTTATTTTTATCTAGTATTTTCTCCCCCTTTTTTTCTTTTTCTCTTTTCTTCTTCTCTTTTCCTATCATTTTTTTCTAATCATTTTTTGTTCCTTTGTTCTTCTTTTTCCTAGCATATCCTTCTCTCTCTCTCTCTCTCTCTCTCTCTCTATCTATCGTTTACCTTGTATTTTTTATATATATATATATTTTCCTAGCATTTATTTTTTATTTCTAACATTCCTTTTCCTTTTTTTTTTTTTTTTGCTCATTCTTCTCTTTTTTGTTTTGTTGATGGGGAATCATTATCGATCCTTAAAATTAAGAGATTCGATAATTCATCCACCTATTAATTAGCTACCTTAATTATTAAAATAAGTCCTAACATTAAACATTAACCAACAAATTTAAGGAATTCAAAATATTAAATCTAAACTAAGTATAAAACAAAAACAAAAAACAAATAGGTATGCATTAAAGAAATTGAAGTTCAATTTATTTGAAAAAGGGCTAAAATTAGGGTGTTTGGCTTTTAGGGTTCAATGGTTCCTCGACCCATTGGAGTGGCCTACCTTTCCTCCTCCTCTTCTTCTTTTTCTTTTCCCTTTTTTTTTAGGCTAGCCCAACCCCTCCTCGCATTTTTGTTCACTAAACCTAGCTTAAGGCCTCATTCCATCTTAACAAGTTTTTTATTCAACCTATAACTAAAATCGATCAAAAAACCCCTTAACTCTCATCTCTCTCGTCCTTCTTCTTCAATGCTTCTCCCTTTCGTTCCTACCATTTCCACCTTTAGCAAACCTAGTTCTTCCACTTTCTTTACCATTCTCTCCAAGCTTCTTTGCCTAAATCGCCACTTTATGCAAACTCGCTTTACTTTACTTTTCTCTTTCAAATCTAACGACCAAACTACCAATGTCCTCCTAAAATCAATCCCTAACCCCTTTTTCATTTTTCTTTTCCCTCTCGCCTCTCGTTTGTCCAAATTTCATTAATTCTTGTTGGGATCGAACTATCTCATCATTTTGAACCCTATTTCCTAAAAAAACAATTTGATTCCTCACCTTCTCTTACAAACCACCCATGGAAACCCTAACCCGCATCATCCTCATCCTCTCACTTGATCAATCTCCCTTTTTCTTCAAAAATCAAACTCCCAATCCGCCTATTCTCCTAAATCAGCCTAAGCTTTAACTAATTTCCTCTTCATCTTATAGGTTTCCAAATCATAAATAGTATCTTGATTTAACCCCAAATCATAAAACCTAAACCTATAATCAACCTAATAATCCTAAAATCTAACCCTCCCGAGTCATTCAAACACTTTTTACTCCCTAATCTAACACGTGGATGTGAAATCAAAAAAGGAGGTAAGGGTTACTCGTGGAATGACAGGTGATGAGTATAACCGTCATTGCCCATCCTAGAGTCTAAGGTCACACTAATGCAAATGGTAATTATGAATTAGATGAAAATCTTAACCTGGATGCTTGATCGGTAGAGCTTGAGTGGGCAGTAGCAGTAATAGGTGTCGTTTAAGTTAGTGGAATAGTATTCTTATAAGGCTTAGGAATCACAAAGGCTACCTTAATGATGTTGATTCCAGTATCCCTCCCCTCTTCGCAATTTGGTAAGAAGCTCTAACCTTCTTACGATTTGTCTTTATTTCAATTCCTTTCCTTATTTAAAATTTCCTCATAATCCTTCCTAACTCGTCTCTAAATTACCTCCGAATTCCTCTCTACAACCTCCTAATTAGCTCTCTATTTCCTCCGAATTCACTCTTAAAATCCTCTAAATTGTCTCTCTTTAATTGCTTCTAAACTCGCCTCTTCAAATTATCCCCTCATTCTCCCAAACTTCACCCTTATTTATATTAAGAATTAGGCTACCTTTTGAATTAATTAGTATTGTTGGCAATTTTTAGCTTCGTATTAATAGAGCCAAAAACACTTATGCTTTCAAACTATACCTCCTGTTTGCCTTTGTAATACCCATATGTCCTAGTAGAGTGAGTTAAATAAGGGCATAAGTGAGGGACAATAGGGTAATTTCATAAGTTAAAAAAATTAGAAACAAAAAAGGAGAAGAATGACAACGTGGTTTCTAAGTGAAACCAACTACAAAATAAAAGAAAATGAGAAGAGAAGAATAGAAAGAGAGGGAAAGGAAGAAGAGGAAGGAGAGGACTTGTCGCCGACTACCAAATCCAATGATAGCTCCAATGACGATGGTAGTAGACTGTTCGGGTAAGAATGAAAATAAAAAGAGGAGAGAAGAAAGAAAGAGAGAATGTGAGGAGAAGAGATTCATGAAGCTTTTTTTAAAAAAATAATTTTAACATTAATTAGAGATGGGCTATATGTAATTTAGTAAATTGCATCTTGAATTAGGAGTTAGAATTAGGGATTATAGTTTGATTAAAAATTAAGGTTTATGTAAATTTGAAATTTAGAAAAAATGAGTGAATGGGTAATTAAGGATTTAATTAAGCTTGAATTTTTATTTTTTAGATTCTAATTGATATTATTTATTATAAATATAATTTATGATAGACGTGAGAGAGAATTAGCGGAGGAAGCCACCTAAGGAGAAGACATTTGAGTTTTGGGGCACTCGTCAAGATTGAAGGTAAGTATATCACATATTATAAGTCTTTAATATTGTACATTGCTCGTGAGGTAAAAATTTGATGTATATATACTATGCTTAATTGTTATAAATAATTACATGTATGTTGAATTGTCTTATTCTAGGTATTCTTGTTGTAAATTAAATGAAATGAATTTTTATGTTGTAATATGAATTATAGATGTTAAAAGAGATCTTGGTATATTGAAATAATATATGTGCATATTGATATAATGAGCACTTGAATTAAATGAAAATATGTGATTGATCAAGTACTAAAAGAGCATAATGATATTGATGGCTTAAAAGAAATTCTATGCGGAACTAACTAAAGCTAACGAGATTATAGTTAGCCAAAGTGCACCTAGTATTGCTAACTAGGGAATGCCCATTGTGGTTTCCTTAGAGTTTACTCCTTATGGGCTATAGTTACTTCATCAATGGGCCATAGTCCGTTTTGTAATTTTTTACAAAGTAAAGAAGTTATTAATGGCTTGATTGGTTGTAAATTATGCAATATATATGCATTGGCATAAATGACAAGTTATATAAATAGTTAACCTCTTGTATGGAAGTAAAGAGTATATGAAATTATGTGTATATCGATTTATAATATGTGTTATGCTTACCGAGTGTTGAAAACTCACTCTTAACTTTTAGTGTTTTGTAGACAACATAAGAGTTAGATATTGAAGGAGGATAATATATTTTCTAGATTTGGAAGTACTACTTAGGTATTTTTGCTTCATCCGGGTATATGACATGATAGTTCTAATTTTGTAATCGTTGTCCATTTTGGCATTATAACCAAATATTGTAAATTTTATTTTACTTAGTTGCTTCATCGGTAGCATCAACAAATCCTACGCTAGTTAATTGAGGTTCTCTATAAATGTTATATTTTAACTAGTTAAGTTATGAATTGTGGATTTGTTTATGTTTAATCTTGGACAATTAATTTAATAAATGATGAGATTTATGGAAAAGTGTGAGTGTTTGATGAATGGCTTGATAATGTATAAGAATTAATGAGAATGATTTGAAAGTGTATGTGTATATGTGGATTTTTATGCGAGGTTATGTTATTTTTAGGACTCTTCTACTATAGAGGAAATGCTACCAAAATTTTAGTCAACAATAAAGAAGAATGAGGCTTATGTAGCCTGTGGTGGGCCACCTTACCTCGAGCTACATGCCGATCGTGGCTCGCTAGTTCGAGTCATGACACTTATTTTAGGGGTGTTTGGTTTATAGGTTATTACAGATTGCAACAACTACGGATGTAGGATTGCAAGGCTTGTAAGAGCTTCGTCCCTCCGGCCATCGATGGAAATGAACAATGTCAAAAGGTGGAATTGGACGGGGCATGCATGTTATGGTCCAAATTTTGGGAGCATCTCGACGACAGGTCATTCGAGTTGATCCTGAATTGATCCTCTCTCAATGTTTAATTAGGTCCTTATAAGTTTAGATTTTTTCGATTAAAATCCTTCGTGAGTCATTGTAGTCCCTAAACATTTAATTTTTCTTAATTAGGTTCATGTACCTTGTAATTTTAATCTTGCCATTTTCAATTGCTTCAATTGTACCCCTAATTGCTCTAATTATAATTCTATTTAATTCAATTATGTCCCTAATAATTAAATTCCTTTTGTGTATTTTTTTATATTTTGTATTTTTACCCCTTTTTTCTTTTTTCTTTTGTTAAATTCCAATAATGAAAGTAAAAATAAAAATAAGATAAGATAAAAATAAAATAAAATAAAATTTAAAAAACAAAGGTAACCACTTTAGGGGGAATTTGGGTTATAACATATGATATGAAACACAACTAAACCATGCATCATACATAGATCCCCATGCCAAAAAAATGATTTTGAGGCTCAAAATGGACTTAATTACCATACCCTTCCCTTTTTGTTCTAGATATTACATTTTGCTTTAGTGGTTTATAGGTTTGAAACTAATTGTAAAATTATAATTAAGGTTAATGTTTCTCATACTTGTTTTTTTAAGAATGTCTATCAATATATTAGAAGGCTAATTGGTTCGATAGTATCTTGTGCTATCGATCAAAGAGAAACTGGTATTTCAACTTTAATTTTTTCAATTGGAGTACCATAAATATCTTTTTATTTGTAATCAAGTCGACTAATCTCGTTGACCAAAAACCGAAAATATTTTTTGCACATGATTTTGACTTGGCTTAGTAAATAAAAAGCAAATGGACCTTTTGTCACTATTGTCCTTATTTCGACCAACATGATCATATAAAATTATAAAATAGCCCCACCCTTAAGTTAAAACAAAAGATGAGATTTTTTATTTGATTAATTACTTTATTCTCTTTCTTTTCTTCCTTCCTTTTCTCTTCTTTTGCAGTTCAAACTAAAACTATGTCCAGCTTTTCCTACTTTCTTCGACTTTTTCACACTCGCTACTATATCAATATGACTCGTCACTATTAGCTTCTAATCTTTTAGATCCGTTGTCGTGGAATCAACTCATGTTTAAGTAGCAAAACAAAAAAATAAAAAAAATAATAACTTAGTAATAAAACTTGCTAAAAAAGTACTTAAAAATATTATGAAAATAAAAAATAACTAAAAAGGGGGTACTTGAGCCATTAGAAGAGAGAAAGGTGGAAGAAGGCAAATAATGAGTTATTAATTTAATTGTTTGTTATGTGCGGGAATGGTTACTATTTTTATGGGTTTTTTTTGGCAAAGAGGGGTTATTCTTGGAGGTTTGGAGTTAACAACGAGTTGAGGTGTGGCTATGGAAGAGGCTATAGTGGCAATGGTTGTGATGATAGGTGGGTCTACGGATAAAGGAGAAGAAGGAAATGGGTCGGGCTCATTAATTAGGGTCTAGTGGTTTTTAATTGGATGGCCCTTAGCGGTAATGAGATAGGGCTACAATAGTGGATGATGGTAAGGGAAAGAAGACGGAACTAAGGTTGAAACTGGCAATCGACAATGTGGAGGAGATGGCGAATACGGGTTCACGGGTTGAAAATTCGGGTTTGATTGATTTTTTTGGTCTTTTAGAGTTAATGGTTTCTTCTCCTAAAGAGAGGACAACAAAATAATTTTGGATTTGATTCTAGAGAGTAATCTTCATATCCTATATTATAAGGAGAAGAATTCAAAGTGCTAGATTGATATAGTTACTTGGAGAAATCTCCGGGTATTGAAGTTAGGAAATATAAAGAGGTTGAGATTGTGGATGCATACATTAAAAAAAACTATGGGTTTTTCGATCATTTTACCATCACACACCTGTCATGTGTGTTTAAATTTTGATCAACGAGATCAAACGACTTAATTACAAACTAAAAAATAGTTATAGTATTCGAATTAAAAAAATTAAAATTAGAGTACTAGTTTGTGTTTGACCAATAATACATGGTACTATCAAACCAATTAGTCATATTATAATAGAAAGAGCTAGTAGAAAAATAACTAAAATATGAGTTTAAATTATATAAAAAAATAAAAAATTTAAATGACATCTTGTAAAAAAAATAAAACTACACTAAACTGAAATATTCATAAAAAAATAAACCATGTTATGAAATAATGAATGTCCATCATCATGTTCATCCACTTTTCATATCCCCACTACTTATGATTCTTAATATGATTCAATTCATCATTCAATATGAGAAATTAAAAGGGTGATGCAATTGATTATTCATAGTCCCTTCCAATTCTCTCTTCAATTTTGAAGCCTATAAATAGGCTTGATTGTTCATTAGTTGGTGTACAACTTTTCTAAAGAGAATAAGAGAAACTTTGAAGTTCTTATCACTTGTATTTACATTATAGTAATTTTATTTTCTTGTCATCCTTTTCTTTAATTCTCATATTACTTCTATTTATTTTATAACACGTTATCAACACGAAGCTCTAACCAATTGAGACACTAGACCATGAGGTATGTATCTACCAAAAGATTTAATCAATTGTTTCAACAATTAGATTTCTTCTACACAAGTGCTCTACCAAAAGATCTAAATTATTTAGATCATTAAGAGATATGTATCTAATTTATTTATGTACTTTAAATCTATTGATACATGAAATATACATTTGAAAAACTTAAATGATCTACTAATGATCCAATATATGTTATTTGAAAAGCTTTAATTTTATTATTATATTTGTTCTTATTTTCTAATATTATTATTATATATTGTATTATAGAAGTTTTATCATATCAAACCTCATAAACTTGATTTGGTGACTCTTGATAATTTGAATAAGAATTATTGATTATGAGTACGTGATTTTGAAAAAATATTCTCTACTTTTTATATCTTGGATATGCTCCTGCAACGAAGCATATCGAGAAAAAAGTTTAAGAAATATTTTGGATCGATTTTATACTTGTTAGTGGATAAATAAAATAAAAAAGAATAAATCTCATCCAATTGGATCTACTCCATTCCATGAAGTGAATGTGACAATTTATAATAATTTTAGATATGGATGAAGATATGATCGAAATAATTATCATTATAATCATAATGACCATAATATTACATCTCACCACCGAAGTGGATAGCATATATATATATATATATATATATAAAAAAGAAATAAAAATAGATAAAGTCAGTATTCGAAAAATAAATATTATAGATGTGGAATGAATGAGTATTGATCGTGTACCGTCGTATACCAAAGTACCTCACCGAGGCTTGTCAAGCCTTATTGAAAAATAAAGAGTAAAATATGAAGGTCACTTTTATATATCAAAGTAATAGTAATTAAAATTAATTACTTGTTAGTTTTTCTATTTATAAATAAAATGTTTTATATTTCTTATAATTTATGTTGAATATTGATGGTTATAAATTTATTTTACTAATTATTTATTTTTTTATGTTTATGAAGAATATATTGATTGATTTATTTTGTATTAATTTATTTGATTATTTATTTTATGTTAATATTATATATGATAATATCAATCTAATAGAAAGCACTAAAAGAGTGACTATATTATTATCTAAAGAGATAGATTTTGAAGGCTCTAGAAGAGCGATTATATCATGACTTGAAGAGATAAATTTTTGAAGCTCTAGAAGAGTGAATAAATTATTACTTGAAGAGAAAATATTTACAGGCTCTAGAAGAGTCGATATATTATTACTTGAAGTGACTAATTTAAAGGCTCCGGAAGAGCAAATATGTTATTATCCGAAAGGATAAATTTATTATGAATGATGTACTATTCTCTTTAAAGTCTTATAGAAATTTATTGAGTTTCAAAGATATTCATCTGAATTGATATCATATCAAGATAGCAAATGTGAATACTTATATGTTATAATCATTATAATGGGTAGAAAATATTTATCAAAAAATTTATCCGTTTTCTCTTATAGTCCGTATTACAAACATTGAAATGATTGAAACAAATATTATAATAAACCGTAAGTTTAGTAATTCAAATACTTTTACTATGTGACATGACCAGTTGTGTTACTTTGGTCTTTCATGATGCGAAAAAATTATTAAAAAAAATTTATATGAATATCTATTGAAGAGCTAGAAGATTCTTCAATTTAATAAACTTTCATGTTCTCGCATGTTGCTAAGGCAAATTGATGATTAAGCCATCATCAAGTAAAATTTAGATTGAATCTTTAGTATTTTAGAATGTATTCAAGGTGCTATATGTGGATCAATTCATTCACCATGTGGACCATTTAAATATTTTATGATTTTGATAAATGCATCCACAAAATGGTCACATATATGCTTATTATCTACTCGAAACCCGACGTTTTTGAGATTGCTAGCAAATAATTTGATTTCGAGCATAATTTTAAATTATGCCATTAAAACAAGTCACCTTGATAATGCTAATGAATTTATTTCTCAAGCATTAAATTATTATTGATTGGCTATTAAAATAAAAGTTGAACATTATGTTGCTCATGTTCACACTAAAAAAGGTTTAGCAAAATCATTTATCAAAAGGCTCCAATTGATAGCTAAACTATTATTTAAAAATAAAACTCCTTGTTTATGTTTAGGGACGTGCAATCTTACATGTAACAACACTTATTCGCATATGACCCATAAGTTATCGAAATTCTCTCATCTTCGATTGATTTATGGTCATGAGTCAAATATTTCTTATTTAAGAATTTTTTTGACATTGTAGTGTATATCCTTAGTGCTCATTCATAAGGAAATAAAATGAGCACTTATAGGAGATTGAGAATATATATTGGATTTGAATCTTTTTTTATAATTAAATATCTTGAATCATGAATAAGTGACATTTTTATAGCTTGATTTATCGATCGTCATTTTGATGAAATAGTTTTTTCAACATTAGGAAGAGAGAATAAAAAAAATAAACGAGTTGGAAATGTTGAAATAAAAAAAATTACATAGAGTACTCTATCTTTATATCATATTGAATCTCATACAAAACAATATGAATCGAAGTTCAAAAGATAATTCATTTACAAAGTATTACAAACCAACTCGTTAGATGCATTCTTAAATCCTAAATGAGTAACTATAATGCATGTCCCCACCGAGAATGCTCCTATTAGAATTGATGTCCTAAAAGGCCAGTTTATTAATGTTATAGCCAATGAATCTAAAACAAGCTCGAAGCGTGAAAAACCAATCGGTTCTAAAGATAAAAATCTCTAAAAGAAAAGGATAAGATGAAAATATAAAGGATGTAAATATTCACAAAATGATCCAAGATATTTCGATAATTAGCTTCAGAAGAAGTCCAAATGCTTAATAAAAATCAAAAGATTTTGATAAATTATGTCAATACATGGAGAACATAGGACCGAAGAGAAATATTTATTGATAAGATTTTAGTATGTAAAGTTACAATTGATATTTTGAATGAAAATAAGGATCATTAGCCTAAATTATTGAAGAATATTGATATAAAGATGATTGGCCTAAATGAAAATAACAATCCGGACGGAATTATGTTCTCTTACAAAAGAATAGTTTTTTGAACTCATAGCTAAAACACCTAAAGATGTTAAGTCGGTGGGATATAAATAAGTATTTATGCAAACATGAAATAAACAAGATGAGATTGTAAGATACAAAGCGAACTTTCAACACAAGAGTTGTTGTAAAGAACCGATATTGACTATAAAGAGACATATTCTCCAATAATGGATGCAATTATATTTTATTATCTCATTAGCCTGGAAACATATATTAAAAGCATTCATATGCATGTATTTAATGAATGTGATCACAATTTATTTTTTCATTTGAGATGAATCGGTATAAAAGTCCTAGAAGGACTTAACATGCCGAAGCATGTAATATATATTCTCGAGATAAGAATTCAATTAAATAATAGAGATCTCTATTAGGATTATTTTAGTATTTGTTTTATTATTTTGGTTTTTAGAAATTTAATTTATACTTTTTATATTTTATTTTTATATCTACTCGTTTATTACTAACTCATGTGCATGTGATATAATCACTTCAATGATTATTTGTTGAAAGAAAGTTATAAGAAATAATCATATTTGTTCATATGTTTTTATTTGAAAATGGGTTTGTTGTATATGTTGATAACTTAAATATTATTGGAACTCCCGAAGAGATTCCAAGTGTCATAAGTTACCTAAAAAGAGAATTTGATGTGAATATCTTGGAAAAACAAAATGTTATCTTGAACTCGCAATTCGAGCACTCGAGAGAATGAGATTTTCATTCATCAATCAATTTATATCGAAAAAGGTTCTACAATGATTCTATATAAAGATCATTCATTGACTAGCCTAATGGTAATTCATTCACTTGATATCCAAAAAGACCCTTTTCGACCTTAAGAAAATAACAAAGAACTACTTAGTCTTGAAGTACCATATTTTAGTGCCATCGGTGCATTGATGTATCTTACTAATAATATTGAACTCGATATAGTCTTTTCTATAAATTTGTTAGCAAGTCATAGTTCTATTTCAATATAGAGACATTGAAATAAAGTTTAATATATACTATGTTATCTTCGAGGAATAATTGATATGGGCTTATATTACTCCAATAAATCAAAGACAAGATTAATTGGTTATGCGGATGTAGGTTATTTATCCGATCTACATAAAACTCGATCACAACTCGGTTATATATTTACATATGGAGATCCAGCTATATCTTTGTGTTCTATAAAGCAAACTATAGCTATCACATCTTAAAATCATATAGAAATATCAATTCAAGAGGCAAGCCGAGAATGTGTTTGGCTAAGATCAACGATCCATCGTATCCGAGAGACATGCGGTTTATCTACCGACGAAAAGAAGTTCCAACAATATCATATAAGGATAATGTTGCTTACATAATTCCATTAAAGGAAGAACACATCAAAGTGATAATCCGGTAGATCTATTCGCTAAAGCATTACCTACCACAACTTTTGAGAAGATTCACAAGATTGGAGTGCTTCGTCTTAGAGATCTTAAATAATGCCTTCAACAAGGGGAGACAAAATGGAGATTAATGCGTGCAAGGAATATTGTACTCTTTTTCCTTCACTAGGATTTTTTTCTCACTAGGTTTTTTCCTAGTAAGGTTTTAACGAGGCATGTTCCTTGTATAATGGACATTCAAGGGAGAATGTTATGAAATAATGAATGTTCATCATCATGTTCATCCACTTTTCATATCTCTACTACTCATGATTCTTAATATGATTCAATTCATCATTCAATATGAGAAATTGAAAGGGTGATGCAATTGATTATTCATAGTCCCTTCCAATTCTCTCTTCAATTATGAAGCCTATAAATAGGCTTGATTGTTCATTAGTTGATGTACAACTTTTCTAAAGAGAATAAGAGAAACTTTGAAGTTCTTATCATTTGTATTCACATTATAATGATTTTATTTTCCTATCATCCTTTTCTTCAATTCTCCTATTACTTCTATTTAATTTATAACAAATCATTGGTTCTAAGAGTTTAATTGACCAATTTATGATGAATTTGTCCATCTTCCAATTCCATTAGAGCTAGGCAACACATCATTTTTAAAATAAATAAAATGACTATTAATATATTAAACCCAATGGATTACTTCATCAAAAATCAATGAAAGAACACTGTTCTAATCAGGATGGTGGCACTTACATATGTTAATGATGTTGCTGTAGGATTTTAGGGTGCCTAGCAACTAGGGAGGAATATATAGGCTGCTTGTTTATGGCACTGATTTCTGTGATTAGGCAGCAGATCTCAGTGCATATAGTCATCTCGCACTTGAGTATTTCTGTTAGGAAATCTAGTGCTTCAGATATTTTGATTCAATGCTTTCCAGAAACCTCTTCTTGTACTTCGATCATCTTCTGATCCTATGTCTAATCCATAGTTACCAGAAACAAGAAATGTCCAGATTCCTGTTAGGGACACGGGCTTAGATCAACTCTCGTACATGGGATAGGTTCAGCTGATGCATTAGTTTGTGTCGTGGCAAGCTTTGAAACTCTGTCTGGTAAAAAGAGAGAGAGGAATAAGACAATACTGTTTAAGACATCATAAGTAATCCTCAAACCATAAAGCTGTCATCTACTGAAGATTTTGCTTTTTCTACACTAAAAGGACGAACAAATAACCAAAAGATGGTATAGCACAGTAGTCGCACAGTTTTACTGCTGCTAGATTGTCTTCACAAGTGTTTGTCAAGTACTTTTTATGAAACAGGCAGCACTACAACTCACCCACTGCTTCCCACCATATATATTAAAGATATGGAAATCAAACCCTAAGAAGTGATGTATGATGCCCAAAAACATCACTATTCTTGACGTTAAATAAGCTTGTCATGCAGTTTTATTTTGCTGCGAAAACCGCAGTCCAACCCAGATATCCAACAAAAGCACTGGCTTACACCCCAACCCTTCACAGACAGCAGTTCATCAATAACTGGTTTGCACTTAACAAACCAAAATCAATCAAATTTCTCTCTGGAATACAATCCTCCATAAATGGCTGCTCTTATGGAACACTTCGAACCATCTTTCCGGCGCCATTCCTTATCTATTATCTTATCGAAAAACCATGCAATATTCTCAACAAAGCAACACCACAAGTCCTAACAGTAGCAGTAGCAGTGGCACGAGCAGAACTGCTTCTGCTGCTGCTACTTCTGGGGCTATTGCACCTCAAGTTTCAGGCCACCAACGTGCTTTTCGTGGAGTTCGGCGTAGAAGTAGTGGAAAATGGGTGTCTGAGATTAGAGAGCCTAGGAAGCCTAACAGAATCTGGTTAGGCACATTTCCTAGCCCTGAAATGGCTGCTGTTGCTTATGATGTGGCAGCACTTGCGCTTAAAGGCCAAGATGCCGAGCTTAATTTCCCAAACTCAGCTGCTTCTCTGCCTGTTCCTGCTTCCACTTCGCCTCGTGATATTCAGGCGGCTGCAGCCTCAGCTGCTGCTGCTATAGGTGCTGCAAAGGATGCTTTAGGGATTCCAAATATGGAGGATACTAATCAAATGGAACAGGAAACTAGGCCAATTGTCAATGATCAGTTTGTTGATGAGGATTTGATATTTGATATGCCTAATCTTCTTGTGAACATGGCTGAAGGGATGCTTCTTAGCCCTCCTCGCTTGGACGTTGCAGGTGATGATGCTACAGGATCCTATGACAACACTGGAGACCATAACCTTTGGAAATTCCCTTGAATCCATCTTCCTATATAAATATGAATATGTTCAGAACGAAAAACTATATTGAGTAATCTTAAAAAATATATAAATCATAGTATCTTGTGTCCAAATTCTGAAGCTGATCGGATGCAAGATACAGTATGGCATATGTGAGGATGAGTGGCTTTCTTTTTTCTTTTTTTTCATTTTTTTTGTATATGATTTCTTATTCCTCTTTTGGATTTGGAGTTTCTCTTTTTCTTTTTCTATGATCAGCTTGGTGAGTTGATTTCATGAACTTTCTTTCAACATATCTGTGTTAAATCTTCATCTTTATTCAGTTTTCAAATCAAAAGATTAAGCAAAGACAGCATTCCAATGGTGGGTGAAGAAAAGCTAGCAAGTTGGCAGGTTTAGTCAATAAGAATGATTAACAAGTTGATTTACTATATGCTTCTTATAGCAATATAACATCCCTTTATATCTTTTATACATTAATTATGCAAACCTTGCAAAATAATATTGGACAACAATCTCATTGATAGCAACAAGCCTGTTAATTTGATATGTTTTTTGTGCTTTCAAAGCATGGTAAATTTTATTTTTTATTTTCAACAGTAAATGTATTTTCAGATCAATTTAGTTAAGGTTGAGGATTTTAAAAACGCATCCCACAACGGCATACTAGTCTAAAAATGCAGTATTTGATTTAGGTCTTGTCATCGAAACTCAGTACAATTGGTTGACGTGTCATTCTCAACTAGTTGGGCATTGTCTAGCTAGTTAGATGCTGACATTTCAGCTTCCGCGGATAATTGTCTCCTACTCATGCATGGTTTATATGTCTGAGTGTATTCACCATTAATTAATGTCAGCATCCCATTTGATCAAATGTGGTTTTTTTATCCTGTAAGCAAGCAAATGAACCAGCACCAATTGAGTAATGTTTCTATCAAACTGTGTGAGTATGCGGCTATAAATTAATGATCTACAGAAGGAAAATTAGGTATAAATGAGCACTGAAGGATTAGAAAAGGCAAAGGTAAAGTTTATATTAGTGATAGGGTAGCCCTAACACTAAACTCTCTAATGGTTCAAGCAGAAGGTCCCTCTAGACTGGATGAAAGAGACAGGATCATGCCGAAAATTGTGCCCTAATTCGGCATTGAAACCGGCAACGGAATAAATTAATAACTTGAAAGAATGCTGAGAAAGGGGTTGATGGGTAAGTCTAGGGCACTGAGGATCATTTTATAACTCATAGCTGTTAATTGATGGGATGAAACTATACATATACCCTTTTCAAATGAATAAATATTTCTGTAAGCAGTTATATGGGAAAGCACTGAAGGCTATACTGAAGAGATGGTAAAGGAACTCAAGTCTTGGCATAAGAAGAAGTAAGCAACAGGTTCTCGATTTGTGAGGGTCATGTTAATCGTTCCAATATATTTTATCGGATGTCTCTGAAGATGCAAAGTTCTTAAGTGCATATATAGATAACCCTAAAGCTACAACTAAGAGTAATAGAGAGGTTTTTGTTCTCAACCTGGATCGGACATAGCTCATAAATTTTTTGATGGATGATTATTTCATTTGATCAGAAGAAATTCAGTAGGAGCATAACCCTAATACAAAGCTAGTCAGCATGGGAACAATTATTAGCTTATCTCCTTAGATTTTTGCCGTACTTTGGTGGGCAATCTATTCAAGATTGCTTAACCAATTAATGGAACTATTCTAGGGAATATGAAGTTCCTATTATGCCAAACAACTAGAGCCTTTTTGCTTCTAACAAATCCCAAGCAATACCTAGAGGAATAATTTTCCTTCTGGGCTGAGCTTCTAGACCACCTTCTCTTCATTAGAAATTGCTTCTTACAAACTTTTCTTAGGGCAACGCTCAGAAGTTGTCTATGAAAATTTTGATAACCAGAATTTATTTGTTAATTAGCAACTCCGTCGAATAGTCCAACACTCAGAATAATTGATTTTGTTAAGTGCATTAGACTGATATAAAGGATATATTTTTATAATCATCCGCAAAGAAAATTTAGTCTCAATTGATACACTTAATTAATGAGTCGTCGAAGATATTCTTAATCGTTAAACCATCGAAAAATAATAATTTATTTGTTAATTTCAATTAGAAAGCTAGGGAGAGTTATGGGAAGATCCCAGCTTTGAAAATAGATGTCCTGTATTGCTTTAAATGGAACATTAAAAAGATAAATTAGGAGATAAGATATTGAAAATGTTGGATTTGAACTGAGATTAAGGTGGTATTTCAATTAGTACAACAATTATTCAAAACTAAGTTTCTGTACTAATTACCAACAAAGCCGACTATGAAAAGCAAGTTTCATCTTTCATGATCAGAATGTTTAACAAAAGCAAGTGATCAAAAGATCGTGCATGTATGTGGACACTCTTTGTCCTTTTTTCTTGTGTGATCAATTCTTGGCTGCTTTTTCAGCCTTTCTTCTTGCTCTCCTTTTTCTTGAACTTAGAGATGACTCAAACCCTCCATCTTCAGACTCCTCCAAATCTCTAAATGATTTCTTACACATTCAAGAAACAAAACAAAAAAAATAAAATACAAAACAAAACAAAACAAAACATTAGCAAAAACATAGGTTGTGCTTAATTATGCTACTTTGAATGGAAAAAGAGATTTAAATGTTAAGAAATACCTCACTGAGCTCAGAAAAGCTAACAGCATAGAAAGTAACTGCAGCTGCAGCTACAATTCCTAGTATGGGAAGTGCTATTTGCATCCCTGCATCCATTTTTTGTTGTCCTATTTTTTGAGGGGGAAGTGCTCTTTGGTCTCTAACAGTAAACAGAAAAGGGGGGCAACATCTATCTGTAAAGATAAGGTTTTGAAGCCATGGAAAGTAATGACTGGTCAAGTTTGATTGGGCCATTTCAGCCAGCTCAGAACTAACTAGTTCTGAGTCTGCCAACTCCAAGCCCAATCTATGCCAAAGCCCATATTCTGACCACGTCATTTTTTTCTCTTTTTATAAAATTTTGACATTTCAAGAATACTCTGGAATTGATTTGAACATCATTTAAGAATGAATTTTCTCTCAAAATGATTTAAGCATGTATCTTTTTATACGGATATAATGTATTTTTTTTAAAAAAAATTCTTTGCTATTTACTTTGATACATACAAGGGTAGAAGTAGGAATGTTTATTATTCGTTTTTAACCAAACAAACTGAACTCAATTAAAATATCAATTTTGATTCGATTTTTAATTAAAAAATTTTAAAAATAAAACCAAATTGAAATTATTTCAGTTTTGGGTTCAATTCAATTTTTAATTTACAAATTCTTTTTAAAAAAATTGTAAAGATATATATATGTACATTAAGTTAATGAAACCCTAATCCTAACCCCACAACTGCCCACACCCAGACTCACTCCCTTTCTCTCTTGGACAGGTAACCACACCTAGATCTCATTTTATTTTCTCTCTCACAATCGCGTCCTTCTAACCCAACTTTCAGACCTCTCTCTCTCTCTCTCTCTCTCTCTCTCTCTCACACACACGCACATGCATTCCTATGGATCTAACAACTCTATAAATAAAATCATTCTCTCCCTCGAAGAGATTTTTTCAGACATTAATTTTTATTGAGGAGAACTTGCAAATTGCATCTGATACCATGAAAAATGTAAGTTATCCTTGTTTTTTGCTAATGTATATATATATTTCTTCAATTATAATATTTAAGCTCATAGAAATTGAGAATTGTTTATAAAGTCTAGTTTTTTTAGTGGAAAAAAAATGTAAAGATGAGCTTTTTTTTTTTTTTTTTTGGGTTTCAAAAACAAATAAAGAATTCATATATTGGTTTCTCGCACTTTTTAACAATATAAAGTTTTTTATTTTATTTTTTTTGGTGGGTTTCAAAAACAAAGAATTCATATTGGTCTCTCTATTTTTTAATTATTATTACGTATCGGTTATATGTTTAATTATGTAAAAAAAAAAAAAAAAAGGTTATACCATGGAAAAAGCAAGCTACCTTTGTTTTTAGATTTGCAATTATACATCATGGAAACTAGTCACGATCATATTGTTTTTCATTCTCCGATAGCATTGCGGTTGAGCTTGGTCAAATGCATGTGAAATTTGAAATTATAAAACTATATATTTTTTAAGTTTTTTGATAAGTTAACTAGCAACTATCTTCATTCTTTAGTTTTATAAAAATTGAAATTTTTACTTTTTTACAGACATTTGGTGAGCTTTGGCAATGTTGAACTTTGGTAGTAGAAAGGATGAAGATGAAGAAGTCTTTGCAAGTAGAAAGTCTTTTACTTAATAGTGTTGAGATGTATTGAATTTTGGTAGTGTTGAAATTCTTTATATTTGTTTTACCCAAAGATCATCGGTCCCAAATTTTAATCCTCTTGGAACCGACTTGTGGATCTTTAAGTTTCGTTTGAACACATCTTACCAACTTTCACAATCTATCATTCGATATTCCTCTTGGTCTTGTCATGACTCATGTTTATATCTAACCAATCTTTCACTTTTTTCTTGGCATTTGGTTGTCTTCGATATAGATAGACCTTATATAGAGTGTTTAGCATGTTCGATAGTTGATGGTACTCCTCTAAGATAGAGGTCGTGTCTAGTTCTTCTATAGTAAAACATCTATATGAGGAGTCCCATCGGCGAGTCAAAGCCTTGAGAACGAACTTTTGGACGAGTGCCTCTAGCAAGATAGTGAGATTCTTATATTTGATTCGGAACCTATACTAATCATCAAGACTCGGCATCCTCTAACGGTCAAGTAGCTTTTGAGTGTTATTAATCAATAATTTGAAGTATGTGATCTTCTTATGGTTGCTCTAAAATTCGGCTTTAGGTAATCCTTTCGGTTTATTGCAAAGCCTTAGAATGTTCATTAAATTTGAACACCGTGTGGGTTTAGATCCGAGTTCTCTTATCACTCATCTTGAAACATTCATGACCAGATTATTTGGTCCAGGTCTCGAAACATCCAACTTGGCTAGTAAATTTACACAAGAAAGATGGTCCTAAAGTCTAGTTTTAGTCATTATAGGATTAGATAAGATTTATCTAAGTTTCAATAGGGTTTTTTTTAGTTCGGGAGACTTAAGAGTGATCGAGTGCAAAGGAGGTAGCTGTGGAGACCATCATTTACCTATCATGATAGTGGTATCTTTCAAAAAAGTTAAGGTTTCATGAGTGTTAACTAGGACGAAACCCATCAAAGCACTTGTAATTTCTCCCTAAATTCAAAGACAAGTGTGTACAATAGATAATATGTATAATGTTGTACGTGAGGGCACGATTCATATCTAGTTTAAACAAAATAAGGACCAAAAATTAAACGAATAAAATTTGTAAAATAAAAAACCATATATCCACGACCAAATAAACAAGCAAACGAGTTAAAGGCCAATTATTCATTCAAAATATACAACATAGAAACATAACAAGCAATAGAGATTCATTCACACATATATTCAAAGCATGACCCTAGCATGGCATAGTCCTCGGTAGAGTTATCTTTCTATTACTAAAAGCTTGCAAGATGAACTATCGAGAATGGGAGTCGGCACCTAACTAATTAAGAAAAACTAAGAAACCCTAAATATATTGGTCTATAAAGATATCTGGATAAGGAGTTGGTTATGTATGAAAAAGATATAACATCATCATCATCATATCCTAACTAAGATAGGCTATATTATTTACGTATGAAAATGAAAATTTAGTTCTCCTATGTTATGTTTCTATGCTTATTTAAATGAATTTATTTTAACGGGATGGATTTGAATAATTTAAGGTTTAGGCTAGTCCGAGACTAATCCCCATACTCGGAGGGTAAATGTAGAAAAAAATTAAAATTTTAGCTAATACTTATACTTGATAAATGGGTAAGTTTATAAAGATCGATAGCGTTTTATTAACATGAGCAACGAGTCACTAAAAACCTCATTCACACAAATGGAAAGCTACCGATGACTTTGGGTCATGGATTTAAGATGTTATCGATAACTTTATCACATAAGTAGAAAGCTACCAACAACATCATTTCACTCAAGCAATGAGCAAATAACTAGTTTAGAAGCCACCGACGACTTTATCATATACCCTCAATGGCTTTGTTTTAGAAAAGCGAACAAGAAATAAAATAATTTCAAAATCATTGATGGCTTCGTCACACAAGTGGGAAGCCATATACAGCTTTGTTACGGCAATTCAAAAATTAAGTAAAACTAGTTTGAAAGTCATTGGCAACTCCATCCATATAAGTGAGAAACCAATGATAGCTTTATTTTGACAAACAAACAACAAATGATGATTGATTAGAAGTCTTTGACACCTTTCACCACATAAATACGAAGGCTCGTCGATAGTTTTGTTTAAAAAAATAGTTAATAACCAACAATCACGGCCTTCAAAACGTCACATTTTACGTTCATTATTCAAAATAATTTGCATAAATTTAGAAGTTACCTAAGCATAGAAATGTCAAGATTTTCTTCTTCGGATCGGTTTGCTTCCTTCAATCTTAATGAAGACTAGTTGTTTCAATCAACTAAAAAAGAAGTAACAATTATTTATGATATCGAGAAAGCTATTATACATTGATTGGAATGTTACGTGTCGGCTATGAAATAACCAAAATGCCCTCGCATATAAAAAAATCAAAATACCCCTATAGTGTGAAATTATAAAAATGCTTTTAAAAGATAAATAACTAATATTGACTATCAATTCAAGGTTCAATGGTCCTTCGGATGCATAGACTAATCCACATTGTAGAGAAGACTATCGAGAGTTCAACATTAATAGTGGCAAGACCGACAACATCGGATAAGGGAGATTGGAGGTCCGAAAGTTTTGATAGGAGCTCCTCCTCTTCCGATGATGATACTATTTTTAAGACACCGATCAACTCATCAAGTTCGAGAGGATTATTTCTATAATGGTTAGATTGTCCGGTTTGAAATTGATCATTTAATTTTTTTAAGTTCTTCAAAATGGGTCAAAAATAGATCTTTATCGATTAGATTATTTTTTGATGAATTTAGGATGTGACTTCGAGGAAAAACACTTAAGAGAGTTGGATAACTAAGTCTATGGTGGTCACAATCACGGTTTTGGGTAGATTTAAAAGATACAACTAGGTCTCCAAATAGATTGGGTCACGGTGGTTTTAGCTTTGATTTCTTTAGCGAACATGACCCAAGCATTGTAGAAATCTCAAGATTTTTTCTTCGGATCGGTTTGCTTCTTTTAATCTCGATGAAGATCGATTGGCTTAATACACTACGAATGAGAAAATAACTATTTAAGAGGGTCTAGGAGGTTGTTATACAATGAATGAAATGCTACTAGTTAACTATGAAATGACTAAAATGCCTTTACATACAAAAATACCAAAATACCCTTATTGTGTGAAATTACCAAAATGCTCTTAGAAGATGAACAACCACTAGCAATTGTTTGTTTAACTTCAATGGTCCTTCGAGCATATGGACCGAGTGTAGTATAGATGAAACCTTCACAAGTTCAATGACGGTGTTGGTAGCCGTCGACGATACTCGATGAGGGAGATCGAAGACCTAAAAATTTTAGCTAGATCTTCTCCTTTTCCCGATGATGATTCTAGCAATGATATGGGATTTTAAGGACACTAATCAACTCATGAGGTCGAGATTAGTGTTTTTATAGTGGTTAGGATATCTAATTTGGCCTTGATCAACCAATTGTTTTGGATTATTCAAAATGG